CCGAATTCGAAAATAAAGGCGGTGTTTGAGAATTGAGTTGGCCGTGGAAGTTCGAGGTAAGTGTTCGGTCTAACCTTAGCTTGAGGGATTATGAGTTGTGTCCTATTTGCTATTTGTTTCTTGTAGAGTACGATATATAGGCATGGTGACGAGTATCTATAGGTTGGTGTCGAGCATGACCGTGAGTCTTAAATTGATATTTGTTGTGTTCTTAAATGATACTACGGATGCTTTAATTGGTGATTCTTGATATTGAGCAAGGATTTAGTTTATTTTCGTGGAATTCACTTGTGATTGAGTATTAATGTTAATTGAGATGAGTTGGAGTTAAGTTAAGATTGGTTATAACTGATTCTTCCTTGTCAGGATGTATATACTTTTACTATTGAATTCCCTTGCCGGGATAGTGTAGTTTATTGTTGATCCCTTATCGGGACTCGTGGTATGGTTGAGTTTAAGGTATAAGAATATATTGTAACGGGTTGCATGCCGCAACAATGTCATATATATTGGATCGGGTTTCACGCCGCATCAATGTTATATATATTGGATCGGGTTGCACGCCGCAACAATGTAATATATATTGGATCGGGTTGCACGCCGCAATAATAATATATATTGGATCGGGTTACACGCCACAACAATGTTATATTGGATCGGGTTGCAAGCCGCAACAATGTTATGAATGGATCGGGTTGCACGCCGCAATAGTGTTATTATTGCTTTATTGTAGATTTTGAATTGTTTCTCTCATATTTCTCTTTATTTCTGCTGGATTTGATGTGTTCCCCGAATCATGTACCCCCTCCCACTTAAACTGCTTATTCCTGTTTATTTTCCCACCGTATATTATATAATTGCACAGGTTTATCTGGAGTCTGGTCCTAGCCTCGTCACTACATCACCGGGGTTATGCCAGGCACTTACCAGCACATGGAGTCAGTTGTGCTGATGCTACACTCTACACTATGTGCAGATACCGGAGCAACACTGGGATAGTAGCACTTGGGGATCCAGCCTTCAGTCCACCCAGAGACCAAGAGATAGTCCTGCAGGCATCCGCAGGCCCGACGTTCTCTTCTATCTATTATTATGTTTTGTTATCACTTGTATCTGAGACAGACTGTATTTCCTTTTTCAGACATTTGTATGTAGCATTCATAGACAGTCCGTGAATATTGTGACACCAGATTCCGGGTAAAGGAGTATTTTGATATTGTAGTACTGATTTTGATCACTTTTAGCTATTTAAGTCTTCCACTTATTCTGTTATCGTTAATCTTTAAATTGTTGATTTCTTGTTAATTCAAGTTGTTAAAAAGGATTAAAATTAAAGAGTTAAAAATTTTGTATTTTGTGGCTTGCCTAGCTTCATCGAGTAGGCGCCATCACGACTCCCGAGGGTGGGAAATTCGGGTCGTGACACTAACAGTAAGGATTAAATATGTCCCAGCAAGGGAATCAACTATAACCAAACTTGTACCAATAATTAACTTCACAATGAAACCTCAACTAAACAACAAGACATAATAAACATGTGATAAGTATACCGGTAACCACAACAATTGTACATGTAACCTATTTGCATGAAGTCATGGAGGAACTCACAATCATGCAGTATCAAAATAATAAGGAAGGCAATCACTTCAATTAAGGCAATTCAGGGTCAATGCAACACGTAAGAATTAGAGGAAAGCTAGCAACATCATATGGAGCATATAGAGACAATTTAAGCAATTATTACACCCAATCATAACGGAATACTCTCCACATGTTGAACATAAGGACCTAAGAACCCTAGATCATATTTCCCACAAATAAGTCCGAGCACACACTTCACATGCACGGACTACAATTAGCAAAGAAGACTCAATCCTAAGGGGAAGTCCCCCACACAAGGTTAAGCAAGATACTCACCTCAAAGACGACAAACCGATACTCTAAAATGCATTTCTCAGGTGAAAAGACCTCTGGACGGCTCAAATCTAACCAAATTAATTTTAAAGCACAAATAAAAAACAAGAAACTATTCCGGATCATATAGTCTCAATCTTTAACAAAATCCAAAAACATTGGTCCAAAAGTTGACCCCCGGGCTCGAACCTCGGAACCCGACAAATATTACAAAATCCGAATACACATTCCAATATGAGTTCAACCATATAAAATTTATTAAATTCCGATACCATTTGACCCCTCAAATCACGTTTTTTCATTTTAGGAATTTTCTTCAAAAATCAACATTTTACTCATCCCAAATTACAAATTAAATGATAAAAATAAAGACAAATTCATGGAATATAATCAATTCTAGGTGAAGAACACTTACCCAATCGCTTTTCTTGAAAAACCTACAAAGAATCTCCCAAAACCGAACTCTAGAACTCCAAAAATGTTAAAAATGGCCTAACCCTCGATTTGGAAAACTTATATTCTGCCCAGATATTAAAGCATCGCGAACGCGTATGACGTATCACATTCGCGAAGAAAAAAAATGAAGGCTGCCCAGATGTGCTTCGCGAACGCGACAGCACGCACGCGAATGCGAAGAAGAATTTCCAGGTGGTCAGCAACAAAGCTTCGCGAACGCGAAAGGTTGTTCGCGATCGCGAAAGAGGATACCAGAAGCAGAAAACAGTAGTTTAAAAATAAGGGAAAATGACCCGCAACCCACCCGGAACACACATGAGGCCCCCGGGACCTCGTCCAAACACACAAACAAGTCATATAACCTATCACGGACTCGCTCAAGGTCTCAAATCACATCAAACAACGCTGAAACATCGAATCATACCAAGAATCGAATTTAGGAACTTTCAAACCTTCTAACTTCTACAACTCGTGCCAAAAGCTATCAATTCAACCCGGAATGACACCAAATTTGGCAGACAAGTCCAAAATGACATAACGGAGATGTTCCAACTCTCGGAATCACATTCCGACCCCGATATCACAAAAGTCAGCTATGAGTCAAACTTCTCCATTTTCCAAACTTCAACTTTTTCAACTTTCGTCGAAACACCTCAAATTACCCTACGGACCTCCAAATCCAAATTCGGACGCTCGCCTAAGTAAAAAATCACCATATAAAGCTGTTGGGATCACCCACGACCCATTCTGGGGCCGTTTACTCAAAAGTTCAATTTCGGTCAAATAGGTTCCTTCTTCTAATCCAACTCCGATTCATCCAGAAACTGAATCCAACCATGCACACAAGTCGATATACATAATGTGAAGCTGCTTGAGACCTCAAACTATCGAATCGGGCGAAATTGCTCAAAATGACCAGTCGGATCGTTACAAATAGTACTTCAAACCCAGTATTTCAGTGAACACAAAGTTTAGTAGCAAATCACACTTATTGTTGCTTTGTTTGATGTTAAAAGTATGCAGAAGAAAGAGGAGAAACTCAGAAAATCGTATGGAAATTCTAAGCAGAATAGTCTTGTATTTATAGCAAAAGTTGGGCTGAAATCTGAAGAAGTGCAACGCTTCAGAATGACTGTTTATGCAAAATAGCCACAGCATAAATGTCATAACATAAATCGCTATTTACTCAACAATAAAGAGGAAAAATTGAAGATGGTAGTTTAATTTTCAGCTACACAACTAAAAAATGGATTGGATTTAATATTAATATTTATTTTAATATTAATATTCTGTTATTAAAATAAATATTTAATAACATTTCTGTTAATATTTTACTACTAACAAATAAATTTTGTCCAAAAAATTAATCAATCAATCATTTGACCAAATCCAAATCCGAATCCGAATCCGAACCTGAAACCGAGCCGAGCGAGCGAGCGAGCGACGATGGTGTGAGGCTTGCCTTCTTCTCAACTCTTCAAGAGCTAGAAGAAGAGCAATTGTTTATATACCCATAAAAAACCTCTTCCTCTTCCAATATGGGACAATGTCCCTTTGCCAGGGGAGGAACTTATAATTTCACTTAAAAATTTTATTTCCCTCCATTTCTCATTCACCCTATTTTAAGCATATCATATACTTAAAATCCCAACACAATTTTCATCTCCTTCATGCCAGAAGAACTTGTGGGGTTTGTGATAGTAAAATTAGCGGGAATTCATGAGTTTTGTCAAGTGAAATTGGTGGCGAAAATGGGAAAGGCATCAGCAATGGAGGAACTCGGATATGGGAAAAAAGATAAAGGAAAAAAAAGAAGAAAAAAAAAAGAAGAAAGAAAAGAGAAAGGTAAAGAAAAATAGGTACTAATAAAAAAGAGATCGTGTTTCTAATACACTTTAGTACAATTAAAGAAAGAGCTAATTAGTTTGGGTAGATTCCGTTTCAAAAAGAGCATATATGAACCAATTATGTGACGGTAAGGACATATATGGGCTAAAGTATTAACGAATGACAAATATGCTCAATTTCATATAGTACAAGGGCATATTTGAATATTTTCCTTTTAAAATTAGATTTACCTTGGTCGGGAGTTTCTGAGTGATTGATGTTTTCTCTAATAAGTATGATAAGTGTGTCTAATGTAGCCTTATTTGAGTTGTTCTATCAAATATAGTTAATCTTATAACAGGACCGTACTTGTATCATTTTAGCATTTGCCAACCAAACAAAAAAGGCATTTAACTGTATTAGATGATTATATACAGTAGGCAACCTTCTGATCTGGAGTCAGACGCGCTACCATTGCGCCACGGATCCGGAGGTGCTAAGTTGGACAAACTAAAGCTATATTTACACTACTTCCCATGTTTTAGATACTTATCTTCGTGCAAGAAATGGTTATTTTTGGCTAACAATTCTCATCAGCTAATCAGTCGTATTATTCATTCCAACGCCCTATTTTTCTTAAGATTTTCCATATGTTAGTAGTTTAAATTTAAAGTTGTCGAATTGACATGGGATTTTGCAGGGGAAGTTAATGTTGTCAAGAGACATAGTTAAGTATTGCAAGCGCCAAGCAGTACAGGACAGTGGCCATAGACAAGTCATAGACATAAAAGTACAAAAAGTCGTGCGAAAAAGCAAGAGAACATTCTTACAAAACTCTTACAACATCACTAACTCCTCCTATTTACACAATTACCACAAACAAAATCTTAATTCTTTCTGCTTCAACCAAAAAAAAAAACCCTACTACATCTATTGGCCTCTCTATTCTCAAGAACGAAACCAGCCATAACCCAAAAGGCATAATACTACTCCATAATAAGCATTACACTAGATGAAAAAAATGGAATTTTGAGTGGCAACATGAAGATGGATCAATTGGAAGGGACATGGTAGTATTTGCCTCTACACATACACCTGTAAACAATGGGGCAAGACTCTGCAATGGAGCATTCGAAGCTCACCATAACTCTCTTACAAGGAAAACAAGGTCCACATGCATGGGAACAATCTGGTAAGCTTGATCCTGTTGGATACAACTCCATTCCTAACTCCCCTTTTCTTTCTTCCTGCAATTTTCCATTCTTAATTTTCACCATTTTATAAAGAGTGGACAAGGCTAAACTGTCATACAAATTAAATTACCTTAATTTGATTTTCCATATTTGTTCCTTTCCGATGGTAGGTAACTGAAATTTTATGAGGAAACAACATTAATTAATATATGTCTAGCTAGCTCTAGGAGTAATAGTGTTAACATTAATGTTATGTCTCAAATTGAGAGACATAAGCATCAATTGCTAATTCAATAAATTAAAGGAAGGAAATTTTGTATGTAAAGTATTATATATATTATTGTTGCCTATGAAATATATAGGTATAAACAATATCGAATAGTAGTTCATTTTGTAAACAGATAATGACCGGAAGCTTGTCAATCAAAATAAAGAGATGTGGTTCCGATCCGGAGAATATTTTATCTTATATTTCAACTTCAATGAATATAAAAGAAAATTGCAGAGAGCATCTAAGGAGAAAGAATTGGAGTGGAGAGTTATAGTGTATTTGAAATAGTGAAGAATACGTGGTTTGCTAAAGCAAAGGTGTGGTACACGTTTCAATTCGCTAATAAGATGGCCCAAATAAAAGTATATTATATACTTCATTTTGTACAATATGTTCGTATACCCCTTGTTCACTTATATATAGTAAAAATAAAAATATAAAAAGTAAATAAAATAGAATGTGCATCAAAAGCATTAGAGTGAGGACTTTTGTAGCTAGCTAGCTCCTCTCTCCCCTCCCTCTTATTTTCATTTTNATATATATATAGTGGGCACTTACAATGATATGGCCGTAGGCTTTGGGTAGAGCTGACTAGCATTAGAACAAGAGTAACTATTGAAAGAATGAGAAATCCATATGAATGAGTGGTAGTCACCATATCGTTGTTAATTTGCCTGTTGTCTTCAGCCACCTTAGAATACTTGAAAATTTGTATGAAATATAACTAAAAACAGTGGAAGATATGTGAAAGATAATGAAGCAGAAAATTTGGGACCAACTTGTCAAATATTTATAATAAGGCTAGGGAAGATTATATTGAAATTTGAAATGAAGAGTGAAGAGGGTGATTTTAATGTAGGATGTACACCTGATGAACATCACATGATACACGGGCACACGGCCACTTTTTGTAGGATTCACAGGTTTTGTTGAGTTCTTCCAAACTAATTAATCCCCACACATATATACATATACAAATCCAATTTTTTTAAAGAAGAACGGACGGTAACAAAGAAAAGGATAATTCTAAATTAGAACGGATTTAAGTTATATTTAAAAAAAGACAGCCCGGTGCACAAGGTATCTCGCATTCACGCTGCAGGGTCCGAAAGGGCTGCACTCTAAGGAGTGTGATGTGGACAGTCTAATCTAATTCAAGCATTAATTAGTAGTCGCTTCCACATCTCAAACTCGTATTCTATAGCTCACATGGAGACAACTTTACCATTGCTCCAAGCATCCCCTCTGAATTTAAGTTAGATATCTAGCATAAAAATATTGTTACGTCATTAAGTTATCTGAAAAATAATTATTATAAAAACTTGTACGATAGATTAAAATACAGTTATGTATAATGAATAGTATTTTTTGTGTATGGAAGTTAAATCTCATAAAACATTACTAGTTAATTAGTGCGTTTGGCTTTCATAGATTATTCCTACTAGAGAAAAATGTAACCCCACATAAGTAACACCTTGCAACCCTGCCCTCCAACATCATTAAACTTTTTACCTTTGTTTCATATGTATTTGAGCAAACTAGCTCGATTGTGTACATTTGGCTTTTCTTTTGTCTCTGCGGTATAGATACACAATGCTTCGATATATTATATATATACCAACAATTTTGTCCTAGAGACTGAGTCCAAAATTTTAAGGTCCAACTATGCAAGATATTTGAAATTATTGGTAAAATTGTTTCTCCATATATACCTGTCTAAATAAACAAAATTAAAAGCTGATCTTATTAGTTTTGGATCAAACGAATTGTTTTTCATTATTTTTAGGGGTGGGGACCGTAAGATGACCCTTCAAAGAAAAGGACAAGAAAAAATTCCAATATTGAAACATCAAAGACAAACATGAGGGACAATAAACATTCATTTCACTGGTTTAATTAGAGAACACGTACATAATATGTGATACATTGGGGTTGGCCCAAAGGAGAGTATGAGTTGAACTTAATGTATTTTTTGAATTATTATTGTCACCTAAAAGATAACAATAGGTTACTATCGGTTATAATTGAAATTAACAACCTGAAAATAAGGCAATAAGTAGTTAATTTGTTACAACATATTAAATTACACGGGTAACAAAAATTCTGTATATTGAAAATGTATGTTATATAAGTTAAAACGTTTATTTATATATTTTAAGTATGCAATAGTAAGTAAGTTTGTAGAAGAGACAAGAATTGAAGTTGAAGAGCAAATAGCAAATGCAAAGCAAAAGGGGAGTCCATTGAAGAAGGTCTCTGCTAAAACGTGAAGGTCTGAACTTGGAATAAATGAAGTTTTCAGTAAGGTTCTGCTTCTTTAATTTCCTTCCATGCCTTTAATGTATCTTTTCCCTCCTCCCATGTTCCATGTCTTAATTATTTACTCTATCTACTTTACGTGCTGCCCCAGAATGAACCCCTTTTTCAGTGTTTCCTTTTTTATTTACTTTGGATCTAGGGTTTTGGACTGTAGTGGAACCGCTCTTAGTGTTACTTTGATGGAAATTATATTGTGTAAATAAGTAAGAAAAAATTATATATATGTGTGTGTGGATGGGTGGGTGTGCGTGTTAATTTGCTCCTTTGTAATTTTATTTTTCTTAACGAAAATTCTGCATTCGCCTTTTGGACAAGAAGTTGAACATTTGTTTGATTCGCTTAATGGTGTTGGAATACATGTTGTACCAAAAATCTGTTTTCGTCTTATTTTAACTAAACTCATATGGATCAATACTAAATTAAATTTTTCTAGTAAAATGTCTCAATTCATCGTATTGCACAATAGGTTCGTTTATTTCTTAAACAATTGGTTTTGTGTACTCTAATTGATAAGTATTTAAATAAAAATTGTAGTTATTTCTTTGATTCCACTACATACTATTAAATCTGAGTTGTCTATATATGTATGATGTAGTTCAAGACTTAGATGAAGATGACTGAAGAAGATGAAGTACACAGATAAGATGAAGTACAGAGATAGATACGAAGAGATGACTGAAAATAGTGACTTTGATATTATTTAATAATATGTATTGTCTAAACTTGGCTGATACATATGTACACGTGAGAATGAGGTGTAGGTAGATATTAACTAACTTAAGCTTAACTAATTCTTTTAATAACTTCTAACCACCTAGACAGTAAAGAATCTTCTGCCCCTAATATCATTAAACACTCCCCTCAAGCTAGGTGGAGTAAAAATATTAAGAATACCTAGCTTGAAGTTTAAATATTCATGCTGCACTCGATTGAGTCCTTTAGTGAGAAGGTCAGCTGATTGATCTTTTGTACTTATATACTTGGTTGTAACAAGTCCTTGTTGAATCCTTTCTCGTACAAAATAACAGTCGATCTCGATATGTTTAGTTCGTTCATGGTAAACAGGATTTGCAGTTACTTGTATGGATGTTTTGTTGTTACTGTGAATTTCAACTGGTACTTTGATGTCTGTGTCCACTTCCTTCAAAACTCTTATCAACCAAATAATTTTTGCTATAATTGTTGCAAGACTTCTATACTCAGCTTCTGTTGAACTTCTAGAAACAATGGTATGCTTCTTTGATTTCCATGACACTAATGAGTCACCAATATTGATTAAGAAACCTATGACAGATCTTCTAGTAATAGGGCAGGCAGTCCAATCAGCATCACAGTATTCAGTTACAACATTATTGTTTTTGCTAGATAAGAATATTCCCTGACCTGGTTGATTTTTTATATACCTTACTATCCTTAAGGTTGTTGTCATGTGTGACTGTTTAGGTTGTTGAAGAAACTGACTTAGAGTTTGAACTCCAAAGAATATATCAGGTCTGGTTATAGTTAGATAGAGAAACTTCTCTATGAGTCTTTGATAAATAGCTTGATCAACCAAGGGATCTTCTTCAGCTTGACTCTTTGTATCAATTACCTTATCATATTGTGTTGAAGTGAGCTTGATGTTTGTATCAATAGGTGTTGATGCAGGTTTGGCTGCAGACAATCCAACTTCTGAAATGAGTTCTAAGGCATACTTCCTCTGATGCATATTGATTCCTTCCTTAGATCTTGCAAATTCAATACCTAAGAAATACTTCATATCTCCCAAATCCTTCATTTTGAAGGTTTTCTGTAATAAGGTCTTTGGTTTCTTCAATTACTTTCACATTATCTCATGTAATTAACATATCATCTACATAAACTAAATCAATGACAATACCTTCAGTAATTTTCTTAATGAACAGGGAATGATCAAACTGGCTTTGTTTAAACTTAAACTTTATTAATGCTTCAGATAATTTAGCATTCCATTATCTTGGAGCTTTCTTAAGACCATACAAGAATTTCACAAGCCTGTAAACTGTCCTTGTCTCCCCTAACTTGAGAATCCTTAAACAAAGTCCATGTAGATTTCATCATAAAAATCACCTTGAAGAAAGACATTATATACATCCATTTGATGTATGTGTCATTTCCTAGCTGCTTCCAAGGCTAAGATAGTTGTGACTGTTACCATTTTCACAGCAGGTGAAAAGTCTTTTGATAATCTATTCCTTCTTGTTGACTGTACCCTTTAGCAACTAATCTGGCTTTAAATTTCTCAATTTCTCTAGAAGCTTTGTACTTTATTTTGTATATCCACTTGCAGACAATAGGCCTTTTCCCTTCTGGTAAGGTAGCTAAGTCCCATGTATTGTTATTTTCCAATGCTCTGATTTCTTCTTGCATAGCTTCTATCCATTTTGGGTCTTTCACTACCTCAAAATAATTAGAAGGTTCTATAGTAGATGAAAAGGAGGCAAAATAGGCCTTATATTTGGATAACATATTATTATAGCCTATACGAAAAAGGGCAAAAAATGCTCTTGAACTATTAGAAATAGATCAATAATACCCTCTGTTTACGTTTCGGCCCAAAAAAGTCCTTATCGTTAATCAATTGGAGCAAAAATGTCCTTCCCAACTAACGGAGCACCACGTCAGACAGCCTACAAAAATAAAATCTTCCAATCACCTAATTCTTCCTTGAACAACTCTTAACACCACATAAATTTATGCTCCGAGTGTGTCGAAAGTATTTATTTTGATTGAATCCGCTTGTTCTATGGTGCATCCGCCCCTAACATCAGCCCTCTACCATTGATTCACCTGCACATTGGATCATCTACCGCTCCAAGCCTTAAATCAATAGGAAAAAAAAGACCCCGACTGCAAAAGATGCCCAAACTGAAATCCTCACCAAAAATCTCTCCACTTTCATCCTTTTCTGGTGACAACTTCCGATGGGGGTGTGAAAGAGAAATGCTCCCGGGCAGCAGTGGTATCTCTGCTCCCTTCAACATAATTTTAGTTAATGGAGATGGTGAGAGTTGGTCTCACAAATGATGGAGAAGCAAAACTTTTAGGAGTAGTCTTGGTCCTTTAAAGAAATGGGATGTAGATGGTTCTTTTTTCTTTTTATGGTGATTGGTAAAGGTGAGGGTGGTAAATTTTGGACGGCATGATTAAGAAGAATAGAGGTGGAGGCATGGTGGATTTTTTGCTGGTTTTGCTATAGTTTTAGATAATGAATGTATAATATTTGAATAAGAAACTAAAAAAATCTACAACAATTTATTTAGTGGACCTTCAAAGCTTTTAGTAGCTTCAATGGCAGTCACTGGCAATGGTATAAATTTTGTAAAATGATGTACATGATAAAGGAATGAAGAGTCCGTCCGGTGGAGTTCCATATCCGCAAATATTATAACATTTTTAATTTTGCTTTCATTGGGAAGGGCATTTTTGCTCCAATTAATTAATGGTAAGGGCTTTT